TTGTGTTTTTTATATAATTTGTATTCTTTAGATTGATTGAATCATATGGATACATGCTGTATTGTTTAGAACTGTGATTTGCTTCATTTACATTATCTAATTATCTCCTATTTTTTTATACTCCACTTTGGACAGTCTGATCACGTAAGGACCTCAGTGGAAATAATTGTTTTCACTATTCTCTCTCTCTCTCTCTCTCCCCCCGCTTCTCTGTTTTCCCAAATAATGTCCTTTTTCTTCTGTTTAGGTGAAAATGTTGGAAGCTTTACAAGACATTGAAATAGCTTCAAGATTGGTAGGCTTTGATGTTGATAATGATGACTCCCTTGATGAAAAATATAGGAAGCTGCAGTGCAATATTACTCCCCTTCCTCATGATAGTGAAGATTATAGGTTAATTGAGAAGTACTTGAAGACGACTCATGCCCCAACACATACTGTGAGTTTGCTACTTGACTGCTTGATGTTGATGTGTGCGCAATTTGTGTACATCAATTTCTTGCTTTTCCCTTCTTTTGTTTCCTCCTTTTGTAGGGTAGAGTCGTTGGATTCGTCTTTTTAATTTTTTTTATTTTCTTAACAAATACTAAGTGCTTGCTTTGCACATCTCAGGATTGGACTCTTGAACTTGAGGAAGTTTTCTTGCTTGAGAGGGAAGGGGAACTTGATAAGTTTGCTCCACATAGAGAAAAGCTTGGGAACAGGATGCTTCTATGGCATGGTAAAATGCAATTAGTTGGTATTTTCTTTAAAGGAATATAGAAATTGTTACAGGATATTTTACTTTTTCAATGTATTGTGGGATACAATCTAAGAGCTTTGCTGGAGTTCAAACTAAGGCTTTTCTCTTGTGCAGGATCTAGATTGACTAATTTTGTTGGAATACTTAGCCAAGGACTGAGAATAGCGCCGCCAGAAGCTCCTGTGACTGGCTACATGGTCCTCCCTCTCTCTCTCTCTCTCTCATCCCCCCCCCTCCTCGTACTCTAGATTTACATAACTAGTGTACATGTTGTGCATGTTTACATGTACTTGTGATTTGTATCCTAGAGAAGCTCCTGTTACTGGCTACATGGTCCTCCGTCTCTCTCTCTCTAGGTTCTCATAACTAGTATATATATTGTGCGTGTTTACATGTACTTGTGGTTTGTATGCTAGAGAACCTCCTCTTACTATTGACATGGTCCTCTCTCTCTCACTCTCAAGATTTACATTACTGGTATATATGTTGTGCATGTTTACATGCATTTGTCATTTCTCATTTGTCTGCTAGAAAAGCTCCCTTCTGTTACTGGCTACGTGGTTTCTTTCTCCCTCTCTAAAAATTTCTGGTAGTTGTACATCTGTTGTGCATGCATGCATGCATTGATACTTGTGTCCTTATTAGAGTGTAAACACATGGAAGCTTGCATGTAGAATCAAAAATGTATTTTATGTCTGATTACAATACAGTGAGACTAACAATCTTTTTGTTGATTCTGTGTTACAGTTTGGTAAGGGCGTTTACTTTGCTGACCTAGTCAGCAAGAGTGCTCAGTATTGCTACACTGACAAGAAAAATCCTGTGGGCCTTATGCTTCTGAGTGAAGTTGCTTTAGGAGAGATTTATGAACTCAAGAAGGCCAAGGTGAGTCAATGATTTACCATGTTAGTATCTCTCCATCTGTGTTTGGATGTCCTTGCTTCACATGCATGAACTTATGCTGGGTTTCGTCTGTCTTTCTCATTTTAATTTTTTCCACTGTTATATCTACATGACCAGACATGTATCTTGGGGTGAATCTCGAAGTTCCATCATGCATTAATTAATACAATTTATATTACTGGTAGACTTGCTTGACAATGTGACATTGTTTATACACTCACCAGACATGCTACATGATCATTCTGTATCTGGTGGTCCTATCAATATATATTTACATATATATATATATAATGGCCATCTTGGAGTGAGCGTCCAAATAACCGAACAGCGCATTATGAATCGGAGTGCTACATTACTTGTTTTCTTGCTTAAGAAGGTGATATTGTGTATGCTTGTCAGACATGCTAATATGACATTTCAGAGCAGCTTAAAATTACAGATGTTCTTATTTTCTCCGGTTAACTCTTTTCTGTTTTGTTTGTAGTATATGGACAAACCTCCCAAGGGAAAGCACTCAACAAAAGGACTTGGGAAGAAAGTACCACAAGAATCAGAATTTGTAAAGTGGAGGGATGATGTTATTATCCCCTGTGGTAAACCTGTTACTTCGAGTGTGAAAGCATCTGAGCTGATGTATAATGAGTACATCGTTTATGATACAGCTCAGGTAAGTTGTAGTTTTGGATTTTGCTTTTTTTTGCCTACACTTTGTTTGAACCAATATCATATGAGTTTTGACCTTATTTTTGTGTCTACTGAGCATATATTTGAGTTTAATCTAGATTCTTAGAGACACCAGTATTATAGATACGTGGGTAAGGTCTATGAATACGAGATATCACGTCTCCTATGCTCTTAGGATAGTGTATGACTATGAGATATTTGACAAAGATTATTATCTTATACAGGTTAAGATGCAGTTCTTGTTAAAAGTAAGGTTCCATCACAAGAGATGAAGCGGGGTGATAAATGAATTTTGGTAAAGCTTATTGGTAACGATTATGCTGTGCCAAGATGTTTTGAGCATTATCCCTGTTAGCAGTCTTGATAAGATCTCATTTTGGGGGTTGATCTGGAGATCTTTGAAGTTGTGTATTTGGCCATGTAAATGATATTTTCTGAATAATCTAAGGAGAAAGCTTGAACTTGGATATTTAATATCCATCTTCTTTTTCCATTTGCTGGCTTTTCTTCTATTCAATTAAAGGACTATAATTCTTGGATGATCCCGCACTTCATTGGTTCTGCACTTGTTGTTTGGCTCATACACTGCTCGTAGTTAGCCACAACATCATTTATATGCATATAAAGGCATCTTAGAGGTCAGTGATGCCAGTTGATCTTGAATGATTGTAAGTTGACTGGCGTGTCAACTTCACCTTAAGAATCTTGTTGCTATACTGTATTTAAAGTTGGAATGCTATTGATTACATAGATTCAACATCGAAGACTGATTAAGGTGATTGGGAACACGAATGCAGCTAGTGTAAAAAGTATCTAGTTGTAAAAAGTATTTCTGGTTTGTGCACTTCATTTTTGGATGGAGTTTTGAGTCACTTTTTTTGGTATTGAAGAGGGGGAATTAATATTTTGGAGTCAGCTTTATTGTCAACCATAGGTCATAGTGGTTTGATAAGTAGAGTCCAAATAGAAGGATAGTTGAATTTGATATGCCCATCTTTAAGATCAAGGGCTTAAAAGGGTAGCAGTGAGGGGATTGGTTTTGGCAGGGTTCTGGAAACTGTATTGAATCTGTGGGCGGCTTGCATGTGTGCCATGTGTGTGCGGCAGCGATGGTGTAGATGAAGAGCAATATAAGAAACTGATGATTATGTCATGGGGCGTTGAGTTAATCTCCAAATATCTGAGTTCCATTATGTCATATGAGTAAAAACTTTTTGTTGCAAAGTGCCATAATCCTCTGTTAAGATGACGAACCCAGTTCAGCCATGGTGGTTTTCTTTCATTTTTCGAGTTTTTAAATTCTGGGTTTCTTTTCTACTTCTTGGTCTTGATTCCCTTGCCGCACACAGCTGGTAACCGAGCAGTGAACTCCTTCCACGTGCCGATCCAAATCGACGATGTGAACTGTTTGATTGTTGCATAATAGACAAGACAATTGAAAAGTAGAGATTTTGATTGATGATTTTCAGTTTGGTTTTTGTTTATATATTCATCTTATGGACTCATGGGGAGAAGTTACTACTAAACATTTGAAACTTTGAAAAGGGTTTTTGTAATTTTTTTGATTGTGGGCGGTGGTTTGCTTTTACACAAAGTAATGGCCAGAAACACCTCAACAAACATGTTTCTTTCTCTTTTTTTTTTGTCTACACGAGGAGACAGTCTTCACTTTTCCACACCCGTAAGTCCATTTTAGTCTATATATGTCACACTCAAAATCCCCACCAAATGTTCCATTCCTATTTTCTACCTAATTAAAGCTTTGTTGTTTCTTAAAATAACTCAAATTCATTTTATTTGACAGTAAAAATCTGTATGTTTTAACACGTAATGCCAATTTTATGTAAAGAGTACATACAATGCCAATCATATATGAAGGGACATACGAAAGGCACAACTTGATCTGAATATTAAGGTGGGGTTTTGTACATATATATTATATTTTTGGGGGAAAATCATCAAACCATATATTACATTGTAGTGAATATATACATATATATATATATTTGGTCACACGTTTTTTGAACTGGGTTTTTAAGTGAGAGATGAAGATTAAAAGAACACCCAAAAAAAAAAAAAACAAAAGAGAGTAGTTGAAGAAGAAGATGGTCAGGGTTACCGGCAGGTGTCAGTAGAAGAAGTGGACAAACTGCAGCATTTTCCAGATGCGGCGTTCGGCGGAAAATAAATATTAATTTAAACCACAAAAAACAAACTTCTTCTATATGAAAATAATTTTTTTTTTTTTTTAAAAAGCTGGTAATATATAAATAAAATAAATGTATAATAATAATAATAATAATAATAATACTGTATATAAGAATAAGTTTGGTCTAAGCCATTTTAAAAAAATAAAATTAGAAATTAATTAAGACGACCCATATTGCATAAACCATTAATAAATGTTCCCTTAAAACCCTACAAAAATGGCCCCTTGATGTCCCCCATTCAAACCCTTTCTTCAAGACCTTCCCTTAATTTAATCCCCTTCTCCTCCCCCCCCACCCTCCCCCCGTCCATCATCAAACTCCATTTTGTTTTTGGCACCTTTTCCTAGTCCCCTCGTGCGCCTTTCATCTTCTTCATCATCTTTTTCTTTTAATCTCATTTGGGTTTTTAGTTTTCTCTCTTATATATATATATATATATATATATATATACATACATATATTATTAAGAAGTAATAGTAATAGTAGTAGTAGGGATATTGGGTCATGGCATCATCCGGAAGTGGTTCTCCGTGCGGTGCATGCAAATTCTTGAGAAGAAAATGTGCGTCTGATTGCATATTTGCTCCATACTTCAGCTCAGAGCAAGGAGCTGCAAGATTTGCAGCCATACATAAAGTTTTTGGAGCTAGCAATGTCTCAAAATTGCTGCTTCATGTCCCTGTTCATGACCGCTGTGAGGCTGTTGTTACTATTGCTTATGAAGCTCAAGCTAGGATTAGAGACCCTGTTTATGGCTGTGTTTCCCACATTTTTGCCTTGCAGCAACAGGTATATAAACATACCCATATGTGTATATATATGCATACATACATATATAAATATCTTCTACTAGACTTTCCCTATCTTTAATTTTTTCAAAAATTCATATATTCATCAATTAACCATTACAATATCTATTATGACATATCAAGAAGCAGTTTCTTGCTTAAAAAAAAACATACAGAAGCACACTTTGATTTGAACTCACAACTTCAGTCTTTAATTTACTTCAACTTATAAGTCAAGTTTGAGTCTTTATCCTGTATGTAACTTTCATTACTACTTACCTCCTTTTCCTTTTATAAAAATTACTCTTTATATATATATATATATATATATATATAGTATGGAGGGATTTTGATTCATTTCATATATAAACAAGAATTGTGTTGATGTTGATCAAAAATTACTCTTTATGTATGTATATATAATACGGAGGGAGGTTGATTCATTTTACATATAAACAAGTATTGGGTTGATGTTGATATGATACTATACATATACGTATATATGTATGTATAGGTGGCTTGTCTTCAAGCACAACTGATGCAAGTAAAGGCTCAACTGGCACAAAACATGGATCATCATCATCATCATAATCAGTGGAGTAGTAACAATATATGTGGATTGAGTTCATCATCAGTTAATCAAACTTACCCAACAGCTAATAATGATTATGATCCAATTAGCTCCCCTCAGAGCTCACTGGAATATGTTAATCATAGCAGTGATTCCCCCTTGAACATGATGTCTCAGACCAGAGAGGAGTTTTGTTTTCAAGGTTTGTCTAAGAAGACGATGACTACTCCATGTAATACTGACTTGGGTGAGCTTCAAGCATTGGCACTTAGAATGATGAGAAACTAATTAATTTATCTTTTAATAATGTGTCTTCTTCTAAATTTTATTTACATAATATTAATTAATTCAAATTTTATGGAACATGTCATCCACCTACAAAACAATCATGCATGTGTATATATCCATATATATATATATATATATATATATATTTGAGAGCTACAACAACTCCCCAAGAGATTACTTAATCAGTTCAAAAAAAATTCTAATATTTACCCTAATTCTGTAAGCCATTAATTGTTCTAGCATTTCCTTTATACTTGGTTTACAGTACTTCACTTCTCTCTCTGGTGCTTATATATGTGTATATATAGGGTCTTTAAATATGATGAAGATATTCTTGTTTATGCTGATAATTGAACTATTCTCTTATAAGCTACAGTTAACTAATTTACTAAGGGTGGTCTGATTAGCCTTATATATATATATATATATATATATTATAATATATATATATTTAATTGAGCAGCAATAATTGATCAGATATTGCATTGATGATTCGATTAGAGTTTTGGAGGACTACTTTTGAATTGTTTTACAAGTATTTTTAGTTTAATTAATCTGTGGAGAAAACTGAAATATATATAATATATATAATTACTAGCTAGCTAACCCACATATTTTATATTATTATTGTATAATAATAATTAATTAAACATACAAGTTTGAACCTTAAGGTGTCCTTTCTTACCTGGGATAGTGTCGAACTACTATTAAATTATATTATTAATAAGCTTTTGCTTCTCTCTCTCTCTCTATATATATATATATATATCTGTGTGTGTATAGCTGGATAACGAAAGCTAGTCGTTCTATATACTTTAATTTGAATGGAATCCTCAACTAGGTCTTTGTTTATGATCTTTTCTTCCTGCTTCACCAAGAAGATTGGTCTAGTGATGTAGAATTGTCTGTTTATTATATACATGTGTGTGTATATATATCTGTGTGCGTGTGTGCGTCCGTGTGTGTTTGAGAACAAGTAGAGTGAATATATATAAACGAAAAAGTGTACATATATATATATATCTATAAAAGTATAGTTGGATATAAGATGGTATAATGATGAGTTGGTTTTCGGAAATTAATTTGGGAAAAAATAGATCAGGAGATGAATGTGATGATTACATATATATATATATATATTTATATAGGAAAACACATGTTGGTGAGCATGAGTGTTTAGGGTTTATATATGCTGTAATGATGAGTAGGTTCACCTAACATTATAACTATTCTTCTTTATTATTGTTATATATATATATATACATATATATATATTCCAATTTTCATATTTATACACCATCAAATTGTAGGCATTCGAAGGGACATTGTGTCCCCCAGATTGAATGCAGTGTCCTACATCACTAATTAATTACCTGTTTGCTTTTGCCAATTTCTTTCCTCCATCCAATATATAATTAATTATACATAATATATATATATATATATATATGCAAATTTATATAATTCAATGCGTTTTTCTTTTTCTTTTTTTTTTTTATAAAAAAAAACATTGTGAAAGATATTATATTTATATTAGTAAAGGACAATTCGATGCTGTGAGGAAATAAAATAATTATAATTCTTTTCTAGTGAAAATATAATTAAGAAAATATAATATTAATGATAACAACATAATTTATATTCGTCAATGTGAACAAAAAATAATATATTTTATTTTATTATTTATTAACATATTTATATTTATTCATCATTTATATATATATATATATTTTTACTTAGACTAAAGATACAAAAATAATAAAATGTGTAAGTAAAGATAAAAATAAGTTGTGTAAATTTTTAGCGAGTTTCATCTAACAACAATTATATAACTATCTTTAGTGATATTATAAGAAAAATTTTAGAGTTAGAATTTGCCAACTGAGGTTACAGAACAAATACCTGTTGCTATTATGACCTATTATTATATGTCGTGATAGTTTGATGTTATCTATTATTACTTATAGGCATCTTAAAACTTAGTCTTTTTCTTTTAAGAGTACTTATTTGAGTATTTGTTTAGGAAACAATCTATTGTCATGGTTATTAAGCGGATCTCTCTTCATGTTTGATTTAGATGCGAATTATGATTTCTTCAACTGTACATTATGCATGATTCTTGTAAATGAAAAACAGTATCGGATCGCATGAGACATGAAAGAATAAATAGATTGCTTACAGAAGAACAATTGCGGTCGTTTATTAAAGTTAATTTGTGCGTTCGATTTAGCGAGAAAAGCTTATAAAAGCCTTTTGGTAAGGCTAAATGGGGATTTACAACATTTAGATCTAGTTCATTCAAACACATGTAAACCTATAAATGCAAAGACATACTATGATGCTTCTTATTTCTTTACCTACAAAAGAACTATTATTACTTGTTATCTTGCCTTTCAGAAGCTTGTGATTGCATTGACATGAGTACTTTGGAGATTTTTTTTTTTTTTTTCTGCATTGATATGTTAGGAGGTATTTGGAAAACTAGTTTAAGGAATTATGTCAAAGTAAAGAAATATATAGATAGTTGATACTTTCTTAAATTCTCCGGTATTAATAAAGTAAAAGATAATATTATGTTTTATGAAATGCAATACTTTTATATAGGTGTTTTATAATCCAATATTTAAGTTTTCACAACATCATTCACTAATTAGATGTCTTTGTCTTTGTTTTGAAATTAAATAGAAGTTTTCATTTACTCTTTTGTAGATATTTGTAACAACTCAAATTCAATTTGAGACTTAATTCCTACTCATATTATTTTCATATAATGGGCTCACAAAATATACATATGTATAACTCAAAGTTTATCAGACAACCTAACATCTCATTTGATATATACTGAGTTCAAAATTTAGAGTTTAACAAAATAAAACGAAAATTTCTAAATTTGCATAAAATAAACATGAACAGGAACCCTTTTACAGGTTCTACTCGTTCAGTAGTGGTTCTGCCTCTTCTTTCTCATCTGGAAAATATCATGATAAAATTTAATGAGTTTTACCAACTTAATTAGTATTTCTGTTCTTTCAATTCAGATAATATTTCATGCAAAACACACAATATGAGATAAATGGAATAGTAATATTTTCAATACAAAATTTATTTATTATTTTCACCGTTTTCACATGTTTCTAATCGAATTTTTTAATTTCACTCGAATATCATTTACAATCTCGAAGTATAACTACATACTCTCGAAAGAACATATATATACTTGAAAACCAATCCTAATCTTAAAGTATAACCAAATACATACGAAAGATCATTTTTAAGGTTTCATCGCGCAATACTGTTTATATCGTCATCGAGGAGAGGCGAAATGGATCCCTCCATCACATGGATAACACATACATACAAAATCTCACAATTGCCACAACAATTACGTTTGCTATATGACCCACATTCACAAACACATATTCACGTCTGTACTAGGTTTCAAACCCTATCCATATACAAGTTCACCATGTTCGCTGAACTTCAATAACACATACACACTCTCCTCCTCGATTCAAACTAAACAAGAAGGCATTCAGGGTCCATACCCTAATCACTCGCATCCTCTCGTTTCTAATTTTTTATTTACTTTTCTCTTATTCTAATTTTCTCTTAAATTTTATTTAAAGTGATCGTTTTACAATCATAATTATTTCTTTTTATTTTTATTTATTTTTTAATGTTAATTTATTTTATTTTCTCGATCTTTCGCTTTATTGGCAATTTTTTTTATTTAAATTTTATTTCTTATCACAGTTCAATTATTTCTCAGTCTTGGGTTTGTTTTCTGGTTCTATCTCCTTATAAATTTCAAATAGTTTAGGGTTCACTTATCATAGGTGCAAGTTTTGTTCTTTATAAAAAACTTGGGTTAGCATCCATTCTATTTTTAAAACACGCACAAAATTAATAAAATACGTACATAATTTCAAAATCATAATATAGATTTAGAATCGAAAATATCTACAACTCCTTTGTGCAATAATCTTTTCGAATATGTTTAAATGTCCTAATTCTTTATACACACACACGACGCAGATTAATTAATGCAATTTAAATACTAAATTAAAGCTAAATTGAATCGAAACTACAAGTTTCAATGACAACACGACAGAATGCTCGGCTCACCGCATAAGGGTGAGCAATATGCTCCCTTACAGTCCTGATTCTCAAACTCAAAAATATTGGGTTCCATATTCGAGAAAGACTCTTTGGCTTCCCGTGGGGTGAACTAAATTCCCATACATGAGAAAGACTCTTTGACTTCCACTGGTGGGTCGGTTTCCCATAGTCGAGGAAGGCTCCTCAGTTCCCGAGTGAGTAGGTGACCAGGCTGAGCTCACGTGGCCAGCCCGACATTGACTGCCTGCCCCCGTCGCCCAACAGCCAACCAAACATAAAAAAAAGCTTACTTGTTCGGCATGGTGCTATTCATTCTCAATTTCAACTCCGGATGATTTTTTTTGCTGCCCCGCTATTCTCCTCCCTTGCTTGAGATTTGGATGACGGATTGCACACCTTATTTACTTCAATTTTTGTCATCACACGGCTTCTCGCCCGATTTCCCTTCCTTCTTCTTCCTTTCGGCTTCGGCTTCCACAACTTTTCCGCCTCGGCTACTCTCTCTTCTTTTTTTCCTTCGTGGCGGCCATTCTTGGCTCTTCCTTTCACTCGCCCGCTCGGCTATGCTTCTCTTTCTCTCCCTTCCTCTTCTCTGGCTTCCCTCTTCCTTTCCTCTTTTTCTCTCTTCCACTCGGCTCCCACTCTATTTTTTTTCCTCTTGACTCCCTTGCTCGACCGCTCTCTCCTCCTCTCCCTCACCCGATCAACTCACCTCTCTTTTCCTCTCTCTCTTTTTCGGCTTCTCTCTCAAATGAAAAAGAACCCTAATCTTTTCCTTATATAACCGTCTCCCTAGCCGTTAGATCTCACAAGCTCAATTTAGGTCGTTTATCCTCAATAAAACCTCAGCTGTTGGATCTCCTCAGATGGTTCAATCTGGA